GGAATAAAACCCAGGAATATGGTGACCCAAATCACACTTTTGGATCTAATCATCTTCCCTGGCAAACTCTTGAATTATTTGCCCTAAATTTTTAGAGCTTGTTTTCTTTTTAGTTTATTGTTTTTCTTTAAACAACCTACTATGATTTAGATATATCCCCTCTAAAATTCAGGTGTTGAAATGTAATGGCCATTGCGATGGTGTCTTAGTCTGTTTTCTGTTGCTAATAACAGAATACCTGAAACTGGGTAATTTGAAAAGAAAAGGAATTTATTTCTTATACTTATGGAAGCTGAAGAGTCTAAGATCAAAAAACTCCCTCTGGTAGGGGCCTGCCTGCTGATAGGGACTCTCTACCGAGTCCCGAGTTGGTACAGGACATCACATGGTAGGGGGCTGAACATACTAACTCAGGTCTCTCTTCCTCTTCTTCGAAAGCCACCAACTGACCCCCATGAGAACCTTAATCCATGAATGGATTAGTCCATTCATGAGAGCAGATTCCTCATGAGCCAGTCATCTCTCAAAGGCCCCACCTCTCAATACTGCCACAATGGAGCATTAAATTTCAATGTGAGTTTTGGAGAGGAGAAATTTCAAACCATAGATGGTATTAAGAGGTAGAGCCTGTAGGACATGATTAGACCATGAAGGCCCCTTTCTTATGAATGGGATTAAGACCTTTGTAAAGGAGGCTTTCTGCATTAGGTTTCTTGCCCTTTCGCCTTCTGCCATGTGAAGACACGTGTTCCTCCCCTCCAGAGGATGCAGCAACAGGGCACCATTTTAGAAACACAGAGCAGCCCTCATCAAACAACTGAACTGGCCAATGCCTTGATCTTAGATTTCTCAGCCTACAGATCCATGAAGAAATACATTTCCATTATGTGTAAACTACCCAGCTTCATGTATTCTATTTTCAAGCACAAATACACACAGAAACGATCATGCTGTTTTCAAAATTGTTTGTTTTTAAAATTATTACAAAGTAAAATTGACCGTTTTGTGGTATACAGCTTTATGGATTTTGGTACATGTGCTGGTAAGTATAACCACTACCACAATGAGGATACAGGACAGTTGTATCACCCAAAAAATGTCCTGCTCTCTGAGAGATTGAGAGTCACAATCTTTCTCACCTCTAACCCCTTGCAACCACCAGTCTGTCTTCATCAATACAATTTTTTTCAAGAACATCATATAAATGAAATTACACTGTATGTAATCTTTTGACATTGGTTTTTTGAGTCAGCATAATGACTTTAAGAATCATCCAAGTTTTTATATGTATCAATCATTCATTCACCATATGGATGCAGTGGCTCATGCCTGTAATCTCAGCATGTTTGGAGGATCACTTGAGGCTAGGAGTTTGAGACCAGCCTGGGTATCATAATAAGACTCCATTTTTATGGGAAAAAAAATTTAAAAATTAGCGGTTGTGATGTTGTGCCTATAATCCCAGCTACTCGGGAAGCTGAGGCAGGAGGATCACTTGAATCCAAGAGTTTGAGGCTACAGTGAGCTATGATGGTACCAGTCCACTCTAGCGTGGGAGATTGAGCAAGATCCTGACTCAAAAAAAAAAAAAAAATCTTTTGCTTTTTTTGAGTTATATGGGTGCATATAGTATGCGTGTCTATTTACCTGCTGAAGGACATTTGGGTTGTTTCCATTCTTTGGCCATAATGAATAGAGGTGCTGTTAACTTTTGTGTATAGGTTTTATGTGAACATAAATTTTCATTTCATTTCTCTTTCTTTCTCTCTCTCTCTCTCTTTCTTTCTTTTTTTTCTTTCTCTCTTTCTCTTTCCTACCTTTCCTTTCCTCCCTTCCCTCCCTCCCTTCCTCCCTCCCTCC